TCTTGACAAAGATCTCGGGAAAAGGCCCCTTCTCGGGCATCCTCAGCTCTACGGTGTAGGCCAGAGAGGCGAGGGTTTCTCCACGAGACTATTTTGGGTAACAATGCTCGACACTCTCTGGCAAAGCGTTGCCATTTTCTTCATCCCTCTTTTCGCATACCGGGAAAGTACCATCGATACATCGAGCCTTGGAGATCTCTGGACCATTGCAGCTGTTGTGGTGGTTAACCTTCACTTGGCCATGGATGTGATCAGATGGAACTGGATCGTTCATGCCGCCATTTGGGGATCCATAGTTGCAACTTGTATATGTGTCATTGTGATTGATGCTATACCAGACCTGCCCGGTTACTGGTACGTTTTCCGACCCTTGTTCTGGTTGAATTCTTGGCCTTTCGTCTCTGTGTCTTGTTGCAGAGTCTTATTCTGTTATCCTCTGTTTGTTTTTCGGGACATGACAGGGCAATCTTCCAAGTGGCGAAGACATGGATGTTCTGGTTCTGTTTGCTCGCCATCATTGTAACGGCATTGCTTCCAAGATTCGCCATCAAATTTCTCGGTGAATATTACAAACCTTCCGATGTTCGGATCGCCAGAGAATCAGAAAAGCTCCGAACTTTTGGAGAACCCGAAACCCGAGAAACCGAAATGAATCTGGTTCAAGACTCTTCAAGGCGATGAACACTGAAACAGCTGCAGCTCAGGACCAAATTTTTTTATACCTTCTGTGAAAAAAATCACTTCGTTTTTGTATCCCTTTGATTGCTATCCAAAGGATAGAGTTTGTAAGTTCGTAGTAAAAGATCATAGGTGTTGTTATACTGTAACCTTGATCCTGTTTGTACCATACACAGCCATTTTTCCATTGTAAAGCAAAATCACAAGAGTTCCTTTCAAACAGAGCATTGGCTGAACTCAAGCAAATCCACTTCTCGCATTTGGGTAATCAAGAAATTTTCAGACAGATGATGTTTTAAGAGCGACATTGACTGGTCCTCTGTTTCCTTGTCGGCTTTCTGTTGAACACAGCAAACACATCACCGTGATTTATCCAAACAGACCCATGATGTCAAAACTGGAAACCGAAATTTGTCCTGAGATATATTTCTTAACACTATCATCACATCTCCAACTCTCCAACAAGTTAAAAGGAAAACATGGGGGCGAGCGAAATGTTTACATTCCGACAGATTAGATAGATGCTTGAGCCTCTTCGGGTTTTGAGGGAGATGCCACAAAAAAATTCCTTCACAAACTTGCATCTTCTTCTCTGCATCGTGGGTTCATGCCCGGTAATAGAAGGAAAGAATCAGGAATAGAAGCTCATTGCACGTATACTACAACCGATATGGGACATATTTGATGGAAAATGGGAAGATCAACCGAAAAGGGAGAGAGACTTACTTCTTAGTTGCCCCGAAACCACCCTATTCCACCGAGCATTCGACATTTCGGCTGCCCAAATAAATGAAATCAGGGATGCATATGTTAGGCATTCGATTATGCTTTCGCACAAGAAGCAATGGTTGAAAGCCAATTATGCATCATAAAGGAAAGCTTTTTTCTTTTCCTTTTTTTTTTCCGGTATACTGCAGAGAGGTTGCACATAAGAATGAAGCCGTTAACAAAAATCGAGAATTTTGTTAACGGCTGAAACAGATTCAGACATTCTACTACGAGATAAGCAACTAAAACAAAAACAGGTAACAGCACTTAAGAAGAGTGCCAGTAGCAAAGCATAAACTCATACTACATATCTTCTATTGGCGTCTGATCCATAAATGCCAAACTCATACTATTTGAACAAGGTTCCTAGATGGTAGACATGGATGGTATATGCCAATTGCAAATAGCGAAATAGATTCAGTACATCGACCAAACACATGCTGATATTGCAATGACAAGCCACACGCATTTACTGAGACGACGTAATTCTAAATGGCAATACACAACATATGTCAAAGATGCAAACCTTTTGTCATAAAAATCACTGGCTCCAGTTACTTGCCAAGCGTCATTTCTTACCACGATCAACCGAATGATCCCCGGCAGTACTCTGATCCACACAAACATTTCTTCTTCCCATACAGAGGAGCACCTGCCTCTGTTCCACTTGGACGAGAAACTCCATAATCGTATGTTAGTTCGGTCATGGGAGGGATGTGCGAAAGGGCAAAAAAGGCGACATGGAAGAAGGATTGATTGTTATGCTCATACATAACCGGCTGCCAGAAGACATTTGGAGAGCAACTGTGGTTCATGAACCGAGCCACATTTCCAACATTCTTTGCACTGATTACAAGTGGTGCTGGTATATAGAAATCTTCAGATATCTCCTCAGAATTATCCTCCTCTGCCAAGCCCGGTTCGTAGTTCCACTTAAAGGGTGTATAAGCCCGGGTTGTATCAAAGGTGTAATCATCATCAGCCACAGCTCCTTGCAACATGGACTTGTTTTTGGCTTCTCCTGCATATATACATATAAAAGAACCAGCTCGGATAGGATCCCATGACCGTAAGCCCCAACCCTTATTCGCTGTCTTGAAAACTTCCAACCGAACTTTCAATCCCATTTGGGTTACCCTGTTTTTGCAATTCATACATGGGCATGCTGGGCTGCATTCATATATCACCGGCTTCCGAGAAACTAGAATCCCATTACCCGTGTAAGGGAAATCACCGTCATTTTTCCGGATGCAGGAACAGTTTAGGTTTCCGGGTTTGCATGCTGGGTGACAGTCACATCCAGAGGAAGGGTGAACTAGTCTGAACTGTTCCGAGTACTTTACTGTTGGAGAGTAGGTGAAATAAGCAGGGCCCTTTTCAGTGTCAATGTCATTCACGAGCGAAACAGGTATGCTTTCAGCCCCAGAAGTGAGATCAGGAAGAATAAGGCCCTCCCTTGAGGGAAAACCTTCCTTCCACTTCTGGACTGATTTCCAGACAGCAAAGGCAGGAGGCTGGCCAGGAATTCTCACCAATTTATACTTGAAAGTATTGTGCCCAGATTTCCCTTTCTCTACCCATGACTCTTTGATTTCGTACAGGCCATCATAAATATAGATCTTAGGACTGCCATTCTTGGAGGCATCTTTAAAGCCACGTATGACTCTTACAGGGCTAAACCGCCGCAAACTCCTCTCCAGAGCAAGATTACCCCGTTCAAGCTTTTGGTCAGATGCTTGCTTATCTCTGTCAGCATTCCCACCGTGGCCACTATAAATTAAAATATCAGAATTAGCTTCATCATTATCATAATATCCAGATGAAACAATGCTAGTAGCAACAGGATCTTCATCTGCGTCATCCTTGATAACCATATAGTCGATGCCAGCCATCGATGGAGAATGTAATCCCACCAAACACATCTCAAACCTAAAGAAGAATATGTCCCCAATCTCAACCCCAGGAACAATTCCAAGCCTTTTTGTCATGTTTGTTCGCACACCTTTGCTCATGCAAGAAGATCCAGCTTTCAGATCAGCACGTTTGATAACACCACTGACTGCTTCCTTTGCGTCCTCCAGTTGGGCAAATCTCCTTCTGAGCGCATCAAATCGCAAAAGCACATTGATCACCAACTCCCTATTACCATTCTCCCGGTCTGGTACGCTAATCCCACTGACAAAACCTCCACCAGACACTGCAGCACCCTCGCCAGAACCAAATTGAGTCGGAGTTTTCTTGGTCTTTCTACTCTTCCTTTTTAAGGAATTGGATTCCTCGTGCTCTGAGTGGCCATTAGGCAAATCGTCTGTTCTAAAGGTCCTAAGGGGAGTGACAAATGAAGCTTGACCCCTTTGGGATTGATTCAGATCTGGGGTGTGTTGGTATGCATGTGCTTGTTCTTGTGTCTGTGCCTGTGGTTGTGCTTGTTCTCGTGACTGTGCCTGTGGCTGGGCTTGTTCTTGTGGCTGTGCTTGAGGTGAGCTAAATGGATAAAACGGTGAGAACCCAGATGGAAAAGGTCCAAAGGGAGGTGCACACACAAAGGGTGGACCTTGTTTGGCATCAGGGAAAATCGGCATTAGAGAACGAAGTGGTTTCACATCGAAGACTCTCGTTTTATCATGCTGGTTACCTGAAAACCCTTCCATGGTGGACTCACTCGATCTGATTCAATGTCTACAGAGGAAATGAGATTCTCAAACAAAAAACCCAACCTGAAGAACCTCGCGAACACAAACGCACCCTCCTTCTCCTTCCTCACAACTTAACCATACAGCAAAAGACTTCCCATACTATGCACAAACTGGTATTCTTCACATGGAGAGGTCAAATGAGAGATTCGTCACGAGACAGAAACAGCCTAACATGGGTATTCTGCAACAACAACAAAAAGCTGACAAAACCAGGATTCAAATCCAGAGGAGAAGAGGATCAATTTCCTAACAAACAGATTCAAAAAAACCCTTCTTACCCCTTGTTCCCTTTCCTTTCTCCGTAAACAGATCCGAACATGAGAAAGACGAGCCTGAAACTTCAAAAGACAGAGAGAACCGCAAACTCAGAAATCATGCTTTTTGAGCTCGCTCGCTCATGAAATTAGGGTTTTCACAGAAAGAGAGGGAATTTCTAACCTTGTTTGACGTGAATGCTAAAGCTTGAGGTATCTATGGGGCTAGAGAAGCCTTAGATGAATCATGAACCGTTGGATTTAAATTGGTAGATCTCAGCCGTACAAAAGATCTAGCATCACCGGATACCCACGGTAAGGGTCGTCGCCTGCGTTTCAGCCTTGTGCTTACGTCCGCAGCAGGTCACGTGATGTCTTTTACCGTTTGCCAGTTGTCGGTAAAATCCAAGTATGTTATGTAACGCTCCGTCAGTTTGGAAAATTCTTCTTCCTCCCCAAATTTCTCTTATTCATTATTCGTTTATCATTGGGCCCATTATTTTAATAATAGACTTCACATTGAGCCCATTGGCCCATTATTTTTTAGGTTATAAAGAGGGAAATTTATAATTTTTAATGGAAAATAAAAATGGATGGAAGGGAATGCCTACAATTTGACCAAGCTTTCGCCCGAAATTTATTAATAAAAATATCTAATCACTAAATACAAGCAATCCAATATATATAAACAGCAATTGGGTATACTCAATATATATATATATATATATATATATATATATATTCAAACAAATTTGCGCAAGCGAGTTTTAATTTGTTAGTTACAATAAATTATTTACGTTCTCTACTTATCTATATTTATATAATACAAGCCTATCGGATAAATATAATAAATTAAAGATATACAGCTTTTTACATGTATGGTTCCAGAGATGCAACCGTACGACGGATTTGTTTGCATCATGTCGCATTCCACATATATTAAGAAACAAAAATAATTCATTAAGAAAATTTATTTCAATTTTTTGGTAAAACCTATTCAATAATAAAATAATTACGGTTAATAATAAAAATAAAAAAAGTCAAATTTTTCATTAAATATTTGATGCACCGACCCATTTATATTCATACAAAAACATGGAGAGGCACTTGTGTCATGACATTGGTTCCCTTCCTACACACCTCGCCTTCGTGCCACGCACGTAACCGCCGCTTCACAAAATTAATTATATTCGTTTTAAATTTTAAAAAATTATCCTCTCAACGTATTTATATCAAAACGAAAATAATTGCAGGTACAACACAAAAATCTCCGAATAATTCAGATTTAAAATAAAAAAAAAGACATTCCGGCAACAGAACGAAATTACGGGAATGTCCTCGTACGGAAAAGTCGACGAGAACAATCAAGCGAGGCTCGAAGCTCGCCGGAGAACAAGAAAGAGAATCACAATCATCGCCGTGTCATCCGTCGTCCTCGCATGCACGGTGATCGGAATCATCGCCGGAACCACCACACACGGCGGGAAAAAATCCCCGGAAAACAACGCCGGCTCGATCTCCGCCTCCGTGAAAGCCCTATGCAACGTGACGTTGTACCAAGAACGGTGTTTTCAGAGCCTTAGCTCGGCCGCAAACTCAAGCAGTCTCAGCCCTGAAGAGCTCTTTACATTGGCAGTCAAAATCACAGTCAAAGAGCTCTCCGAGGCATTGAAGAGATTCTCCGACGAAAAATCTGGCGGAAAAGGCGGCAATTCGACGGCGATGGCGGCCATGGGAGCTTGCAGGGAGCTTCTTGAGCTGGCGGTGGAGTATCTGAACGAGACGGCGGCTTCCTCCTCATCACACAACGACCTAACGTTACCGGAACTGGTAGATGATCTCAGGACATGGCTTAGCTCCGTCGAAACGTATCAAGAAACGTGCATTGATGCGTTAGAGAAAGCGACGAACGAAGAGAATCCGAATTTGAAGATGTACGGAGAAACCCATCTGAAGAATTCTACGGAATCAGCGAGCAACGCTTTGGCGATCATAACGTGGTTAGGGAAGATTGCTAAGTCCATGAACCTAAGACGGCGTTTGCTGACAACAAAGGTGGATTCCGAGGACGAGGAAATGGCGTTTCTGGGGAGGAGATTGTTGCAGAGTACGACGGATTTGAGGAAGATAGCGAATATCGTGGTGGCGAAAGATGGGTCGGGGAAGTACAAGACGTTAAGCCGGGCATTAGAGGATGTGCCCGAGAAGAGCACGAAGAGAACGATCATATACGTGAAGAAGGGAACGTATGTAGAGAATGTTAGGGTTGAGAAGAATAAATGGAACGTCGTGATGGTCGGAGACGGACAGGGGAGGACCGTTGTGTCGTTCGGACTCAACTTTGTCGATGGAACTCCGACGTTCAAAACGGCCACATTCGGTAACTTCCCTTTTCTGATCTGTTATAATATATTTGTTGGGTTTGATCCCTGTTACGTGTGACACAAGAAACGCATTTTAGGACACGTTAAGGCAAACACAGAGAAGCTTATGATTAATCAATCATTATGAGCCCTAAATAGTTGAATTTATCTGTTTTAAATATTAAAACACATTTGATATAACACAAAACACACAGTAATGTAATGAACCAACGATTTAATTACAAGCTATAACTGTTGCTTTTCTCCCAAGAAACGGAACCTTAAAGTGCTCTTTTGCTGCCAGTTTCCTCGCATTTTATGCAATCTTTCAACTTCTGATCACTGGTTTGGAGTTATACACTGTTAATTCCCAACGGTTTCGATTTGTTTCACCACTTTGGTTTCCGGTTTAACGTATCGGTTTCCTCTTTAACCAGCTGTCTTCGGGAAAGGCTTCATGGCACGAGACATGAGCTTCCGAAACACTGCCGGTCCGTCCAAGCACCAAGCCGTAGCCCTAATGGTATCAGCCGACCTAGCCGCCTTCTACCGGTGCACAATGGACGCATACCAAGACACACTCTACGTCCATGCACAGCGCCAGTTCTACCGCGAATGCACCGTCCTCGGAACAGTGGATTTCATCTTCGGAAACTCAGCCGTGGTCCTGCAGAACTGCTTCATCCTTCCGCGACGGCCCATGGACGGTCAGGAAAACACGATCACGGCTCAAGGAAGAACCGACCCGAATCAGAACACAGGAATCTCCATCCACAACTGTAAAATCTCGCCGTTTGGAAACCTAAGCGGTGTGCAGACGTTCCTGGGAAGGCCGTGGAAGGATTTTTCGACGACAGTGTACCTGGAATCGTTCATGAATGAGTTCGTCAATCCGAAGGGGTGGCTGCCATGGACGGGAGATTCGGCTCCGTCGACGATATTCTACGGAGAGTACAAGAACTTTGGCGGAGGAGCTTCGACGAGGAAGAGGGTCAATTGGAAGGGTTTGAGGTTTATCGGCACGAAGGAAGCGAATAGGTTTAGCGTGAGAACGTTCGTCCAAGGACCAAAGTGGCTGCCTGCTTCTGGTGTTCCTTTCAAGTCTGCTGTCTGATTCTCGAGTGTGTTTTCTTTAATTAACTGTGGTAGTTTGGATTTTTTTTTTTTGTTGTAACATTGGTTATTGTTTCATTGATTTAGAAGTTGAATAATGATAAATATATGATTATTTTTATAATTAAAAAAATGTACCGTATTTTTTACCCAATTATATTTTTAAAAATCAGGAAAATACTGATAAATTCTCCTTTGCATGTCTGAACCCATAGTAAATAAATATGTAATCTTTATATGCGGTTGAGCAAGATTTGATGTCCCCAATGCAATACCCAAAGAATCCAAAATATAGATCGTTTTTTTTATATATAATTTGTTAGAAAAATATTATAAATTATAGAATAATTATAGAAAAGATTTGAAGCCAAAAGACTTAGTTAGCTCTTAAACTGGATTTTGTGTGTGTCGGCAAAATGAACCGTTCAATGCTTTTATATTAAAAAAACGACATTAACTAAACAGATCCTGCAATGACAGACATTCCCAGAGAATATCTTCTCCCCATTTCATTATTTAAAATTGCAAAAAATATACAAAATCTTTGCGTATTTTCATACTTTAAATATTGAATATTTAATTGTTTCAATACCACAAGAAAAGTATACATATTTTTCTGCATGTATTTGAAATTCGATCATAAACTACAAACAAAATGTTGCGAGTTTTGACAGTAAGAATATTAATATTAAAATATAAAATTTGTAAATTTACACACTACAATAAGAGTATAAATTAATATGGAGAGCATTGGCGGAATCCGCAGACACTGCGTTTGATCGAAAATAAATTTTATGAGAATATCTTATAATTAACAAATGAATGCCTCAAATATCATAACTTTGTATATTTATACAATTACTGTATTTCCGAATACAGTCCATGCCCTATGGTTCGTAATTTATATTGTAAGAGGCATTCTAAATATAACAATAAACAAAATATTGAAATTTTATATAATTGTCATTATCATGAATACAAACTATATATATATATATCCTACAAAAAAAAAAACATGAGAAGCACTTGCGATGACGACCCATCTTAGTGCCTCGCACGCAATGTACCGCGTCATAGAATTTAATTATTATGTTTCGTTATAACTATATGCATATATATATATATACACACATAAAGGCAACATTGGAATTAAACACAATCGAAAACGGAATTAACCGAATAATTCACTTTTTTTAATCTTTTTTTGAAAAGAAAAACGTAGGAGAGAATTACGAAAATGTCCTCCTACGGCAAACTCGACGAGGCGGAGCAGGCGAGGCTCGTGGCTCGCCGGAGAACGAGGAAGAGAATCGCTATCATTGCCATATCCTCCATCGTCCTCGCCTGCGTTGTAATCGGAGCCGTCGTCGGAACCACCACTCACGCCGCAAAAAACTCACGGCAGAACGACGCCGGCGCCGGCGACGGAGGCTCCATCTCCGCCTCCGTCAAGGCCGTCTGCGATGTCACTCTCTACAAAGACACGTGTTACAAATCCATTGGCTCCTCCCCCAACGCCACGAATCTCTCCCCCGAACAGCTGTTCAAGCTCGCCGTCAAAATCACCCTGGAAGAGCTCTCCAAGTCCGCCGCCAAATTTTCCAACGGTGGCGGAGTAAACGGCGGGAACGTGACGGAGGCGGCGATGGGGGCGTGCAAGGAGCTTATAGAGCTAGCGGTAGAGCATCTCAACGAGACGATGACGTCACTCGGCGGGAAGGTGACGTCGTTGCCGGAGCTGGCGGATGATCTCAGGACATGGCTCAGCTCCGTCGAGACGTACCAAGAAACATGCGTCGAAGCACTGGAAGATGCCATGACGAAGAACAACGAGAACGTAGATTTGAAGACGTACGGAGAAACTCATCTCAAGAACTCGACGGAGATGACGAGCAATGCCTTGGCGATCATAACGTGGCTCACGAAAATCGCCGACTCCATCAATCTCCGTCGCCGTCTGTTATCTTCGTCCGGATTCGGAGTTGACGAAACGTTTCTTGGACGGAGATTGTTACAGGGAACAGATTTGAAGAAGATGGCGAATATCGTGGTGGCAAAAGACGGGTCGGGGAAGTACAAGACGATTAGTCGGGCGTTAGAGGATGTGCCTGAGAATAGCGATAGGAGGACGATCATATACGTGAAGAAGGGAGTGTATGTGGAGAACGTTAGGGTCGAGAAGAGTAAGTGGAACGTCGTGATGGTCGGAGACGGACAGGACAAGACCATTGTGTCGTTCGGACTCAACTTTGTCGATGGAACTCCGACGTTTCAGACCGCTACGTTCGGTGAGCGCCCTCTATTTCCGATGTTTCGATTTTTTTGTTTTTTTGATAATCATGTTTCCATTTATTTTACTTGTTCTGATTCTGTCTTATGTCTTAAAAAACATTTTTTTTTCTTGTTTTGAAGCTCCAGCTCGCTCTATTTCTCTCCCATAAGCTTTTAGCTAGGGTTTAATATTTAGGGTTAATAATTGTTAATGGTGCCACCAAATTTGACATTTGATCCAACTTTTTTCTGAGAACATGTATGATATGGTTTTTGTTTATAGGATCGTATGTATAGAAAAGGGTCTTTACCATCAGCCTAAAATTTGTCATGAAAGATCTAAATTCGAGGTATTGACTTGTATATCTTTCGGTTGAACAGCTGTGTTCGGGAAGGGCTTCATGGCTCGGGACATGGGCTTCCGCAACACCGCCGGACCAGCCAAGCACCAGGCCGTGGCCCTGATGGTATCGGCGGGCCTAGCCGTCTTCTATCGATGCACCATGGACGCATTCCAGGACACACTCTACGCCCACGCCCAACGCCAGTTCTACCGTGAATGCTCCATCCTCGGAACAGTCGATTTCATATTCGGAAACTCGGCCGTGGTCTTCCAGAACTGCACCATCCTTCCCCGACGGCCCATGACAGGCCAACAGAACACAATAACGGCGCAGGGACGAACCGATCCTAACCAGAACACCGGAATCTCGATCCACAAATGCAACATCTTGCCTTTGGGCAACCTCTCTGGTGTCCAAACGTTCCTTGGTCGGCCTTGGAAGAACTTTTCTACGACGGTGATCATGAGATCGTTCATGGACGGATTCGTTGATCCGAAAGGGTGGTTGCCGTGGGTCGGAGACTCGGCACCCGACACGATCTTTTACGCCGAGCATGAGAATTTCGGACCAGGAGCTTCGACCAAGAATAGGGTTAAGTGGAAGGGTTTGAGGACTTTCTTGACGAAGAAGGAAGCTAACAAGTTCACCGTGAAACCCTTCATCAACGGCAACAAATGGTTGCCGGCCACCGGAGTTCCGTTCAAATCCGACCTTTGAGTTTTCTTTTTTAATTTCTTTATTTCATTGAATTCTATTACAAGGGCTGGTCGGAAAATTTGATGTCTAGCCGCCATTTTGTTTTTGTAACGAACTCACACGTCTCTCTTCTGATTTTATAATTCTGTCGGTTCTTTGTTTTCGTGTGGTTATGTTGTAAAACTTCTCAAAAGGTTCTTCTCTTCATCTGTCACTTTTTTTATGATACATTTTAAAGTTCGAAATTCGAATTCGACAGGAGATTTTTTTTTTTTAAAATATGTAAATTTACCGGATCTTTGGTCCGACTACATCTCTCAAAAGTGTAAGAGGAGACCAAGAATATCCTCTCGCAGTGCTTAGCACTGGCCCTAGATCGAACAACCGAAGAAGAACTCGAAAAATTAAGAAAACTCTAAGAAGGAAATTGGAAGGATACTTAGAAGAAAGACTTATACTTAAGACTCTTTTTATTTCTTTGATTTTTTGCTTGAATACACAAATGAGGGGAGGGGGTATTTATAGCCCCATGGTTACAACTATTCATATAAAAATCTACATTAAAATATTTATAATCTAGAGATTTCTATATATTTTTTATTATAATTATCTAGATTTTTCTATATAAAAATCTAGATATTATTCTTATAAAAACTTCTAGAAATTGGACCAAAATTAATATTGGGTTTGGTTTATTGGATCAATGATCCATAAACTTAATCCAAAATTATTTTGGCCCAAAAAACCTAAAATCAAGTTTAATTTTAATACTCCCCCTTAAACTTGATTTTTGGATACAAGTCCGAGTTTTGAACGAAGAAACTCGAACTTTCCCTTTGGAAGCGTCTTGGTGAAAATATCGGCGATGTTGTCCTCGCTTCGTACTTCCAATGCCTCGATCGTCCCATCCAGTACTTTCTCTCTGATGAAGTGATGCTCGATCTCGATGTGCTTTGTCCTTGCGTGGAACACAGGATTGTTCGCTAGTTTGAGGGCACTTTGATTGTCTCCAAAAAGTGGAGTTGATTTGTTGATGTATACGTTTAGATCTTCAAGAAGTCTTCGAAGCCATATGCACTCCTGAACTGCAAGCGTCGATGCCTTGTATTCTGCTTCAGTTGTTGATAAGGACACTGAACCTTGCTTCTTGCTGCACCAGGAGATACTTGTGTCACCGCATAAGAAGACATAACCAGAGGTAGATCTTCTATCATCTAGATCACCACCAAAGTCAGCATCTGTGAAGCCATAGAGTGAAAATTCTGAATTACTCTTGTAAAACAACCCCATATCAAGAGTAGTATTGATATACTTCAGAATGTTCTTCGTAGCTTCTAAATGAGATTTCCTTGGTGCTTGCATGAACCGACTAACAAGCCCAACTGAGAATGCAATATCTGGCCGTGTGATGGTCAGGTATAACAAGCTTCCAACGAGAGCACGATAAGGTCGAGGATCACATAACAAAGACCCTTCATCTCGCCTGAGCTTTATATTCACATCCAGTGGGGTTGAACGAGTTTTTCCTTCCTTCACTCTGAATCTCTCAAGAATTCTCTTTGCATATATTTGTTGACCGATGAAGATTCCATTATTTATCTTCTTAACCTCCAACCCAAGAAATGTGTTCAACTCTCCCAACCTCTTCATTTCAAACCTTAATGACATCTCTTCTTGAAGGCGAGAAATCTCTTCATCATTATTTTCTGTTATGATCAGATCATCCACATATAACAGAATAATAACATGGATGCTTTCATGTTTTTTGATGAATAAGCTGGGATCGGAATTCGAAGCCATATATCCGCAAAATTGCAGATATTGAGCAATTTTTCCGTACCATGCTCGAGGAGCTTGTTTCAAACCATAAAGAGCTTTCTTAAGTTTGCAGACATAACCTGGATACTTTGGTGAAATAAACCCCGGTGGTTGCTCCATATAGATATTTGTATCCAGTTCTCCGTATAAGAATGCATTCTTCACATCAAGTTGCCATAACTTCCAATTGTAACTTGCAGCGAGAGATAAGATTGCACGTACCGTGATCATTTTGGCCACCGGACTAAACGTTTCTTCATAGTCTTCTCCGTACTTCTGAGAGAATCCACGAGCAACCAATCTTGCCTTGTATCGTTCAACACTTCCATCAGCCTTTCTTTTGATCCGATAAACCCATTTACAAGACACCGGTTGAACTTTATCAGGTTTTGGAACCAAATCCCAAGTTTCATTCTTCATGAGTGCGTCCATTTCCTCCTTCATTGCATTCTTCCACTCATGTTTATCTTTTGCCTCTTCATATGAAGCTGGCTCTTCTTCATCAATTGGAGCTGCAAAGAAACACGAGTAAGTAGTGACATAATTCTCATCTCTATACCTTGCCGGTTTCACAATGTTTCTCTTGGGCCGTTGACTAATCCTTTGATCTCCTTGTCCCTCGTCTCCATGAGAGGGGCTCCCCCTTTCTTCTTGCACCTCCTCTGAAAAATTATCATCATAATTTTCCATTGTTGAACTCCTTGTCTCAGAACGTGATCCTTGTTGATCCAGAACAACTTGCTTGGGTACATAGTAGGAGGAAACTTCATCAAACACAACATCACGTGAAACAATGCACTTGTGTGTATTTGGATCCATGCATCTCCAACCTTTTCTACGTTCATCATAGCCAACAAATATGCATTTCTTGGCTTTAGCCTCAAGTTTACTTCTTTGAGGCTCCGGTATATGAACATAGCAGATGGATCCAAAAACCCTGAGATGTTTCACCGTTGGCTTCATCCCGTGCAACATCTCATATGGTGTCTTCATATTGTTAGGGCTGAGCGGCATCCGGTTGATGACGTATGCTGCACATTTCATTCCTTCTGCCCAAAGTTCCTTCGGTAGACTTTTATGATGTAACCAACTTCTACATGTCTCAGTGAGGTGACGGATTTTCCGTTCTGCTACTCCATTTTGCTGAGGAGTGTGTGGACACGTTAGTTCCCTCTTTATACCGTGTTGCCTGCAAAATGAGAGAAACTCATTTGATGTGAACTCTCCTCCATTATCCGTCCTTAAATTCTTGATCTTATGTCCCAACTCTCCTTCGACGGTAACCTTAAATTCCTGAAATCTTGAGAACACCTCAGATTTTTCCTTCACGAAGTATACCCAGGTGTACCGTGAAAAGTCGTCGATGAATAACAACATATAGTGGGACCCAGAGTATGATGCCGTTTTAGTTGGACCCATTAAGTCACTGTGGACCTTCTCTAGAGGAACGGTGCATCGTGAAGTTGATGAGTCAAATGGTAGTCTATGTGACTTCCCATATTGACAACCTTCGCAAACTTCACCAACATCAAGGCTCTTTAACTTGGGGAGACCATTCACCAAGTCTTTCTGTACCATTATCTTGAGTTTGGCCATATTAATATGTCCAAGCCTCGCGTGCCAAAGAGATGCACTGTCATTACTGCTCATTTTATCAACATATGAGCTAGACACCGATAATACATATAGATTTTTAATGCGCGCTCCGGTGTGAACCACATCCGCTTCTAGATTTTTTATATTCCTTAAAAATTTGATGTCTCTTGGGCCGAATAAGACATAGTTACCTGAATCAACCGCATTCACCACTGAGAGAAGATTTTTCTTTACTCCAGGCACATGGTATACGTCCTTAAGTGTGATTGGACCTCCTTCATTTCCGTTGATAACAACGGTCCCTCTCTTCTCAACATGGTGAATGGAGTTGTCTGCCGTGATGATTGCTTCATTTCCGCCATGGCGACAAGAGCTTGAAAATAACTTGTCATCTCCAGTTATGTGATGACTGCAACCAGAGTCTACAATCCATTCAGAAGTGAGAGGATCTGATGTGGACGAACCTGTTAAGGCGGTATCAACCATGAAACACCTCTCCCATGCTTCATCTTCAGTAATGTCTTGTGATTTCGCCATGTTGGTTTGTTGTAGTTTCACACGACAATTTTTCTTGATATGCCCAAGCTTCCCACACCGATAACACTTGACACGATTTTTGTATTTTTCCGTAGCACCTCCTTGGACGATGGTCTTTTCCTTAGCTCCCTCTTGGACGACGACATTTTCCTTAGCTCCGCTTTTGAAAGGTCGTTGCTTTCTTGCCATAAAGGCACTCTCGGAGTCATCGTTAACTTTAACTCCGGCCATTTGCATGGCCAATGTTTCTTGTGAAGATAACAAATTTTCAAACTCCTCAATGGATGGTTGTTCAGACCACCCTTGAATCGACGTCACAAACGGTGTATATTCGGGTCGTAGACCTCGAATAATACATCGTCTCATTCGTGCTTCTGAAATTTTTTCGTCTGGATTAAGACTATTAATTTCAGAGCACAAATTTTTTATCTTCACAAAATATTGTGAAACGGATGACTCCCCCTGCTTGGCATTCGCCAATTCCGTCTCCAAGTATTGCAGACGAGCCTCATTTTTCTTATAGAATAATCTTTCTAATGTCGTCCAAATCTCACTAGCAGAGTTACACTTTTCTATGTGCTCAAACAAGACCGGAGATACTGACCTTTTAAGAGCAAACTCCGCCTTGGCGTTCTTGATCATCCAATCTTTCACTTCTCCGGCACTTGCAGCATCTTCCGTCAGAGCAGTGGTATTGTTACCTCCGACAATCTCCCATAAATCTTCACTTCTAAGATAAGATTGCATGCAAGACTTCCAACTCCGGTAATTGGATTGAGTCAATACTTCCATACCCAATCCAACTACGCGCCCCAAAGACTCCATACTTAGAGTGACCCGAGTTCTCTAACCTCGATCTAGATTAGAGAGGCTCTGATACCATGTAAGAGGAGACCAAGAATATCCTCTCGCAGTGCTTAGCACTGGCCCTAGATCGAACAACCGAAGAAGAACTCGAAAAATTAAGAAAACTCTAAGAAGGAAATTGGAAGGATACTTAGAAGAAAGACTTATACTTAAGACTCTTTTTATTTCTTTGATTTTTTGCTTGAATACACAAATGAGGGGAGGGGGTATTTATAGCCCCATGGTTACAACTATTCATATAAAAATCTACATTAAAATATTTATAATCTAGAGATTTCTATATATTTTTTATTATAATTATCTAGATTTTTCTATATAAAAATCTAGATATTATTCTTATAAAAACTTCTAGAAATTGGACCAAAATTAATATTGGGTTTGGTTTATTGGATCAATGATCCATAAACTTAATCCAAAATTATTTTGGCCCAAAAAACCTAAAATCAAGTTTAATTTTAATAAAAAGATCGGAGAAGTTTGTGTGAATGTCTCTCCAAGTGAGGACTCGAATCCGGATTGATAAGGAGCTTTGATCCATTTCTAATCGGTTGAGCCATCCAATATTGGATAATTCGACACGATATGTATACCAATAACGTAAAAAAAAACCGCAGAGAATGAATGTTATATATATATATTAAAAAATATCACCGAATAAATTTCTTATAGAAATTCGGATCACACACGCAAAAAAATCCTTAACAAGGCTTAGATAGTTAAATATATGAAATTAAGAACCACAATTACACCTTAATTTCCCGAATACACCGACAAAACCATATATCGAGATTATTACAGCGACAAAAAGTAAATATGAAATCCAGATAACAAGAATTAATCGAATCCAATAACGTCCAACATATATATAACATAATCGATCTTTCATTTACTCGTTGTGAACCAATCCTCCACAGAAGGGAATATCCGTTTGAGGCAACCAGGTGTCGCCCATTGTCAAGTTATAGACCGTGAAGTTCATGGCCTGAGTCAAGTTCATCAAACTGTAACCGGGCCACTGAACCCTAGAGCTCGTGTTAGACCCCGGTCCGATATTCTCGTACTCACCGTAGAAGATCGTGTCCAGCCCGGTCGTACCGTTCCACTCGAGCCATCCCTCCGCCTGGACCACCTCGCTGATGTACGATTGCATGTAAACCGTGCGCGAGTACGGTTTCCACGGCCGTCCCAAGAACGTCAGGGTCGAGTTCGGGTCGGCTGCTAGGTCGGGAGCCGCCTGGATCGTGCAGTTGTGGATTGAGATTCCCGTGTTTTGGTTAGGGTCGGTCCGTCCCTGGGCCGTGAATGCGTTCTTTTGATTTTCCAATGGTTTTCGGGCATATAAGTTACAGTTTTGGAAGACTGCAGCGGCGTTTCCGAATATAAAATCAATCGTACCTGTAATTAGAAAGGAAACGAAATTAAATGATGAGAAAATCAGATATAAATAAAAATATTGTAATAGATTAATACGCACACTTGGATTTTTTTAAGAAAATACATAAACTTATTCGATTCTTATTTATAATCATGAATTCACAAGAATTAAAAAAATACGTAAAATAATCTCCAAAAACACTAAAAGTTCAAATAAGAAACGTCATCTAATGACGTGTAATTTTTTTAGTCCTTTTATATTTCATAATTTTATTTGAGTAAAAAAATATTGTATATTTTTCTTAAAAAAATTAAAATTTGTGTATCAATACGAGAGCAAATTCATATATCTACATGATTTTTTTCTTATATAAATGGATGAAAAATTAGTACTTTTTACCAATAAATAATAACGATAAATGGTTAAAAAGAAAATATTACCGTAAATATCACAATCGCGGTAGAACTGTCTAAGGGAATGAACGTAGAGGGTATCTTGATAACCCTCGAAGCTACACCGATAGAACGTGGACAAGTCGGCATTACACCTCAAGGCCACGGCCTGATGCTTCTGCGGCCCGGCCGTGTTCCTGAACGTCACGTCCACCGCCGATGAAGATTCCATTATTTATCTTCTTAACCTCCAACCCAAGAAATGTGTTCAACTCTCAATTAGTTTCAAAAAACCCGAAAAATCGGGGAAAAAACTGAAATACCTACCGAAGGTGGAAGAATTATACGTAGTCCAGCCGTCGACGAAACTGTGATTCCCCGAAATAATCGTCTTGTTAATGCCGTCTCCGACGAGCAGAACGTTCCTTTTGTTCTTAGGCACGACGACGTACTCCTCGTAGAGGCCTTCCCTTGCGTAGATCACGAAGTAGCCGTCCTCCGGGTTCGTGTTGTTCGGAGCGGAGGCCACGGCGGCGGAGATTGTCGTGAAGTTGTCGGATTCGTTCGGGCCGACGATCACCGCCTCCCGGACGAGAACGGAGCCGCCGCTGGTCTGGCCGAGCTCCTCCGTGCTCCGTTCCACTCTCCGGCCGCACTCTTTTTCCTTGTCGCATGTTTTGCGCAATACCTGCGAAATAAATGTATACGTATTTTCTTGAAAATCGTATGGTTTTAAATCTGTGAATTGCAATGATGGTTATAACCCTAATGCACCATATTATATACTTTTGAAGTGGAATTTTTATTTTGTTTTGTTTTTTTTATACCAAAAAATTATTTTGTTTTTGGCGAACCATCTGTTTGTATTTGCGAGAATTCGGCCTACATGTCATCACAAGTTGTATATGTTAAGTGGTGTATTTTTGTCTTCATGTGCTTAACACGCCTTGTGAATATGAACTACATCAATACATACATACGTATACATACATATCGTATACATACATACGTATACATACATATCGTATACATACATACATACATACATATCGTATACATACATACATACATACATATATATATATACATACATACATACATACATACATACATACATACATACATATATACATACATACATACATATCGTATACATACATACATACATACATACATGCATGCATGCATATACATACATACATACATACATACATACATACATACATACATGCATACATACATACATATATATATGCATACGTACGTTGGAAATGAACGGTGAACCCTGTTTCTAGAAAACCGTTGGCCACTCTTGATGAAGTTAATGCCACTTGATGTTTTAAATATTGTTCATTGTGTAGCTATAATGAAATTTAATATTCTTAATTCTGACAGCATTGTCTTGATAGATGAATAGTTCAACAAACACTGATGTAATAATTGAAATAAAACATATAGTGAAATTCCAATGAAAAAGTTATATATACGCATATATATATATATATATATATATA